AAAGGTTTCTTCTCTTGGCAATAATCAAGCTCGATTTTAAAGCGTTCTCGCTTTTGTAAACATCGACTGTTCGCCTTGAGTGTCAATCAGTGTAACAATCTAATTTTTTACTTTTTCGCTACTGCTCACGCATTCGAGAGAAAGTAAAAAAAAATTCTGGATGCCTGAAACACGGCACGAATTCAATTCACCATTGACAATGTAAACTCATAACAAGGAGGCGAGTTTTAATGAAATATAATTTTTTTCTTTTCACTTTAGAACAATGACGCTTAATATACAAATTAATTTTTTGTTAAGCCAAAACGAAAGCCATTTTTGTCATTTTTTTTTTTTTTTTGCATTTTTCGTCGATTCCTACTAATAACTACTTTTTTACCTTTTACCTCATTTTAATTCATTTTATGCTTATTTAATCGATTTTAATATAATTTTAATGGTACTTGCTTCACAGAATATTTATGAGGTGCAACAGATGTTAATCATAGAATTTCTGACAAGTATATTCGATTTCTTCGCTCATATATTGTAGTGCAGCCATTGTAAATACTATGTAATCAAAGATTCCTCTGACGCCTGTCGGCGTCATTGTCAGTTCGGCCAATTTCGCGATAAAGGAAGATATTTTCTAAAGTAAAGAACCAACCAAAGGGTTACAAGCTGAGTTCACTTGAACAATACGAAGAAGCCTTATTACATCAGTAACATACCCAACAGCTTGAGTTGTTTATTTGAAATGGATTTGATCAAATTTTTTACGTCATTTTTCTTTATTTTTAGGACATTTTTAAAGCATTTTAAGAGAATTTTATTGATCATTTTGGCAATGTTTAAGTTTATCTTAATCCGCCCCTACGCATAACACTTCTCACGTAAGTTTGAGACAGTGTTAACAGACATATTTTGCGGATGAGTCAGTGCCTAGCATTACAAAACATGCGAATTTATGCTTCCAAAAATATGTTTTCAATGTGCGCGCTGAATGGCATTTCTTTGCTTCGCAACGTTGATGGAAATTGAGCTTACGATGTAGTGAAGGAGGGGGGGGGGCAACTATAATATTCTTAATAAAAGCTAGCCTTCAATTCTGACAGAAACCTTTTAATTAACGCAGGAAGTTATTTATGATATGAGGAGAACATTACCTTTATACTTTAGCAACCCTGAACAATACTTACAAAGAGGACTATTGCAACAGTGATATAATAAAAAACAGTAGAAGGCACAAAGAAAATACGTAGCTTCATTTCTTAATGAAAAAGGTCAATTAACCATATTATCTGTAAAGTGAAGTTTGTTGTTTTTTTTGTTTTTTTTTCTAACATCTGCTTTATTTGCAATTTGTTCTACTAGAACATTCGGCAAATACAATTGAACATACATTATTGACATGTAAATAAAGTGAAGTTAAAAAGGATCAATTTAATTAATTGTATTACATACTCTTATTCGTATAAATGTTCCGTCCGTTTAATACTAAATTGTATCAGTCTGACACTTTTTAATTTGAATTTAATTGTCTATGAAGTTCATATTTCATATCTGGCACATAGTAAGATCTGAAGGGATACTTTTGTTTATTGCTCTGTTAAAGTATAAGGATGGTCTAATGCTGATTGGCACGTGTTTGAGGGGTAACGTCTAGCAGACGTGACAGCAAAACAGCAAGTAGACATTTCTGTAATATTTAATTTCTCAGATTTATCACAGTATTCTACTTTGTAACTTTGAAACTCAATTCTGCACCGTCTTTAAAAATGTATTTCACTCTGTTACTACAAGAAAATTTTGAATATTGGTCCCGATGTGTCGGAGAATAAGCATTTTGGAAAATTCGAGTGAATAGTTTAGGTGCTAGTGTTTATTCAAAGACGGACGGATGGAAATACAGACAGATATGTGGCCGGCCGGCCGGACGAACAGTCTGATAGAGACATTTTGGAGAGGGGGGGGGAGAAATACTTTTTCGCTATTAGGGGACTCCCCAAAACGTGCATTCCCATTGAAGTCTCCAAGTTTTCTGCCGTATAAGATAATTTTTACTTTACGTATGTTACTCTATATATAAGGATGTATGCGAGAAAGTAAAAATAAAACTAACTGAGCATTTTATGGTTTCCATAAACTGTATAGAAACTATTGTTAGGAAAAGTTTTCGGAGATGTGGCACTTTTTGTTCACTAAAATGTTTATAGATTTTATGTTTCCCAAAGACTTTATGTGAGTACTTTTAAAGCTTTTGTGTTGATGAGTGTACAATATTATAATATACAAAAGTGATAGATTATTAAAAATGTTCGAGGGCCTCGAATAAATAAATTTTTTGAAAGTTTCACTCAGTTATAACTACCCAATTTAAAAAAAATGTTAGTGATTTTAATACGTTTTGAAAAGGAGTATATGCGCTTGGCTTAAAATAGAGAAAACATCCTTTGAAAACAACACTTTTGCAGCATCTAGGTCTGCAGAGAAAAACAATATTATTTGTACATTCGTAAAATTCCCAGGACTCCCATTTTTGCGGGTGAATGTAAAATTCTCTGTACGAACTAGTAAAAAAGATATAATATGTAATTGCATGTAATTGCATTGGATCGAGTACCTCATCGCGTCTCTTGTCACAGTTGAGTAAATGACGGTTTTAAAAGGTATTTTTGGGTCGTTTCGAACAATAATAACCAAAAACGACGACTTCCGGTACAATCATCTAACGATGTGTGAATAAGTGGATTAAAGGCTGGGTAGGTGCTGAGATGAAACACTATGTACGTGCTTGTAAATTGTAACTCCTGAAGGTAACAGAATTCACTCACAATTCATTATTTTCAGATAAATTGTACCAACCGTTACGAATACTTTTCATTAGAACTTATATTCCTGACCAAGTTTGGTTAAGAAATCGGGTTAAGTGTGGAATGGAAAATGAGATATTTTACAATGACTTTTACTGGTTGTATGCAGAGTCTATTTCTTGCATAGTCCATTGTGTTTGCATTAGTGAAAGAAAAACATTCACATTTCGAATGTGGGATGGGATTGCAAAAACGTATTATGCAATTACAACAATTCTGAACAAATCTTTGAATTGTCATTTTATTTCAAGAACACATCTTAGATGAGAAGACAATTTCGTGAAACCCGAGCAACGTATTTTAGTAGTGACAAATTATTTTAAATTAGAAAAATGATCAGCTTTGCCATCATTAAGGCATACGTGAATACATTTTATAAAATGTTCCCACATTACCCCAAGGTAAACATTCTATGAGCCCTGTGTATGGTGTTAGACTTTGTCCTTTTTTTTAAGGGAAAAATAGAGGATTTGGCGCAAAAAGAATCCTGTGAAAAGAAATCGGTAGAAGACCTGTCCGAAAAAAAAAAAACCCTCCTAAGCTTGGTTTCGCAATTTTAAATTGTTGATACACATTTTATAACAAGTATTCTCGTCGGAGTATTTAAATGGGACGGGGGCAGTTTTCTACGACCGACCGCGTGAAAGTTGGAACGCGCGATCGGACGGCTCAATCAATTGCCGCCCTGCGCCGCTGGAGAGCATCGCCTTTAAGCGCAGCGCTCGCGCTCCAGCTGAGCCGCGCGCATGCGCGGAAGCGAACTTCCGGAGCGGGCTGTAGGTGGATATTTCGGGCTGGTGGTAGCGCTGCCGAGCCGGTCGCCGACCTACAGCTCACAGAACAGGGCGAGGAGAGAGGCGCGTCTGCAGCAGACAGGGAGCGCTGTTGCGGCAGGGCGAGAGAACCACAACAAAAAGGGCGGTGCGTGGCCGGTTCGCGGCCATGCGCGCGCAGGAGAGAGAGAGAGAGAGAGAGAGAGACAGAGAGAGAAAAAGAGAGAGAGAGTAGTGGGCAGAGAGGTTGGCAGTGAACGGAGCGTCGTAACGATTTTGCCTCTGCGACGCTGGCGGTGCAGTGTGATCTCGGCGCAGTAAGCCAGCGGTGGCTGCGTGACCGTCGGCCGTGGGCCCTGCGTGTGGATATGACGGCGCGGCCTGCGACGGGCAGCGGCGGCGGCGGCGGCGGCGGTGGTAGCAGTGGACGCGCCCGGCCCCCTCCGGATACGTGCGAGCGCCGGGCAACCCGGGCGGCGGCGGCGGCGGCGGCGGCGCAGGAAGTGAGATGCTAGACGTCAGTGGCGTGTGACCTGTGCTCGCCTCCCTCGCCAGGTGAGCCGTGCGCGGGGAAGGGAGCCTGCCGCCCGGCCGCGTCACGGGGCCCGCGCATTCTGCCCCGGAGGCGTGCGTGCCCCGCCGCGCACGATCGATGCGGCTTTGCGAAGCGGTCATGGTGGGGTGATTCACTTCGCGTGGCGGGAGTCGCTCGAGTTTAAATGGTTGTTGCGGCTGTGATTCGCTCAAATGGATTGTAATAAAGCCGTGCTTCTGGAGGTGGACTAGGAATATTCTATGTATTTAATGTCACCTTTTCATTTTCTTAACATTATCATTTGGAATGTGCTGTGTAAATAGGTGTTTGAGAACACTTCGGGAGTAAAGTAGGTACAGTAGTATAGTAGGCTTAATAGTTTTCAATTAATTTGAAAACTCTTCCTAGAGTTTTTGGTATTGTAGATAAGTAAACTCTTCCTAGAGTTGTTGGTATTGTAGATAAGAAAACAGTAAAACGAGTGTTACCCGGTTTATTATCGATAGTTCCGAACATTATTCTTAATGTATATAACTCCCATTAGTATATACCAAAAATTCTCAATTCCAGTAATTTAGAAATTTCATTTCTAACATTGGGCACTCATTTTTCTTCGTATTATCTAAAATAACGTTGTATAGTTTCAAAAATAGTATTTTTAGAGATAACATGTTGAAAATTAATACCTGTAATTCCAAATAGAAAAAGTCACCGGTTTTTAAAAAAATATTTTTATTATTCCTATTCTGCATTTCTATTTTATTTAGTTAACTTCACAACTACAACCTACACGTTAGACGTTCCCCTATTCCGAAATTTTCCCTTTTCTCTTCAAAAAATAAAAAAAGTTTGCAACTTCTTGCACGCACAGGTGTACTGGCATCTGCAACCGGCGTCACGCCACGGCATCTGTCGTGGGTCACGTGCGCACTTAACATTCTGTCGTCGCGAATGCCGTGAGAAATTGTTGTACTTGTGAGCGAGTGCACGCTGTATGTGTGCGAATGACGCGAGCGAAGAAGAATACCTGTTTTCCGACGAGCCCAAGGTTACCTCGCTCGTCGAGGCATACTTTTATTTTGTACTGCAGCGTTGACCAGCGCGGCTGTGACTGGGCAAATGCGGAGTTGTGCGTATGGAAGTGACAGCGGAGTTGCACAAATTTGGCGGTAAAATGTGATTAAGAATGAACTCGCGAAATATTGACTTTATTGCTTCTATTCAGCTTCGAATGTGTTCGATCTTACCAATGGAAAGACTGAATGGTATTTCGGATTATTGCTTACAGTTCAGAGTCGTTTGTGAGAATATTATTAATAAAGTTGTCTCATTTAAATGAAAGAAAAAAATGTCGTTGAAAAAATTGTCTTGATTGAAAGTAAGATTCTCAGGAAGAGACCAGGAGAGACATTCCCGCCTACTCAGACTAGCCGGAATTATCGATCAAGTTCTGTCTTCTCGTCGCGGCATCTGCGTCCTCGTGAATTTGACGTTAGTGTTGCCAGTGGAGCGGCGTGCCTGAGGCACTATCTAGGAATGATGACGATTGTGTGCTTCGTGGAAGCATCTTCAGTGATCATCTCTCTGTACGTCCACCCCCAGAAGATTCCTTGAAACGTCGTGTGTAACGGAAAAGAAAAGTTGTTTTTGTCGGAAATAATGACATTTGCATTCCTGAATCGGATGCCGTGGTGAAAAATTCCAGGACCTGGGTGTGAGTCTGGTTAATTATTATAGTTCTTTGATGTCGCGAAAGTCTCTGGTGAAAAATGCACCCCCATTGCACCATTGTATCTCTCCAGTTTTACTTGCAGCGGAGAGCAAGAAAGAGCGCGTAGATGGAATACAGTGTCCCGAACTCCGGAATGGTTGGACGATTATTTATTTATCAAAGTTTCTGTTTTTAAAAAGACTGATTGTACTTCACAATTGATCCCTATTATATTTCCAGGATAAACTGTTCGACAATAACAGGGGATTTCCAAAATAATAATAATTTTTTTCTAGGAATAATTGAACATTACTGTGATATCACTAATACTTTATTCATTAAATTTTCTACAATTTGACACAAATTTATACATCTATTAGTATGCTTTTTATAACTTTGAGAGATAGGCTTGTGTTATGTTATTTTTGGGACAGAACTTACACATTTGAAAAATTGTTTTTGTTTAAAAAAATAAACAAACACAATTTATTATTAATAAAATTAATAAGTAATTTTTAGTGTGCAATTTTCTGATATTTTTTTCTTTTATGCATTTACAGAATTATTTTTTCATCATGACATCGATTTTTCATCTCAGAAGGCTGTGCTACATATTCCTACTGTTAGGCCTAGCCTACGTGGGAGTACTAGTAACACGGACTAAATTTGGTCCAATTGATGATGTAAATCGAGATGCACGTCTGTGAGTCTGAACATTAATTTTACCTTTAATGTCAAAAATTTCAGCAATAACAAATTAACTCTATTGAATAGAAGGGAAGGGAATTATTATTTTGTGGCTTACAATACTTTTATTTTACTTCTCAAATATTTTTATAGTTTTATTACCCAAAAATAAATGCACTATTATTCCAATTGCTGAGAAATAATGGATTGCATACTCTCTTAAAACTGTTTAATTAACTTCGAAGTTCCACCATGTAACTAACTTTTCTATCGTGCAGGAAATCAGTTTCTCTTCTCATGGACTCCTCTGCAGGAGAAGTTTGGAAAAAATTAGCGTAAGTTCTAAATTATAATTAAACTTAATTTGACAGTAGAAAAATTACCTTGGTAGAAGAAAGAACAAAACTGACAGATTTTTAAAAAATCATATTTTCCTAGATCATCATAATTTTTATTTTCCTTATTTCATGGTAGCCTGGACTGGGCATGTAACATTGAGGGAATTTGTTGCTTTTAATAAGGTTACTAATCCTAATTTCCTCCAAAACTAGAAGGTGCATATCTTCTACCAAACCAAATGATAAACATCATTTAAGCTCCTTCATGAAAAAAAGTACTATGTCAGTGATGCAGTCTCATCTCAGCATGAGAAAATTCAATGTAATCATGGTTACACAAAGATAAAGACAGAAATAGTTGTAAGAGAAGAAATATCAGGAGAATTTACCTTGAGGACAGAGAGCAGTGTCATCTGTAGAGCATACCCCAACACTTAAATGTTGCGTAGAGCAAATTTTTTCTCCTTTCAAATATGCATAGTTTCCATACCCAGTAATAAGATAATGGGAAGACATTTCATCCTGAAAAATTGTGAATATTGTTAAATGAAGAATTATTTGTTATAAAGATTAATTTGAAAGGAAGCATTTGCATTTGTTGTCTTTCAAAATTGTTGGTCAGGATCAACATGTATGTATCAAGAAAATTATTAAGAAAATACATGTATGTATCAAGAAAGTTCTGTATACATTTATTTACTGTTAATTTATTTTTTGGTCATATTTTCTTATATACTGTAAGTATTATTATGGTTTTCATTCTTTAAAATTCCCAGTTTATAAATTGAGTCACAAAATGTGATGAGTCTTCAGTTAAATTTTATCACCAAAATACAAAAAGTTAAAATTTGAGTATAGATTTTTGTTTTGAAAGTAGCTGCAGAGTTGTCTTTGTTACTAAAGAATCACGGCTTGCAGTTTGGTTTGTGAAGAATCTTTGTTTTGAGATCTAGTTATAAATTACCTTGAGTGAAGGTGATGGTATGTTAACTTTGCATTCTAAGAAAATGTGTGCAGTTTTCCCCCCTTTCTGACCCCCAAATGTCCCGTATTTATTTCTGTTTTCTTGATGAAAAATAATCTTTTGATTAATGTGATTAAGCAATTCACGATGCATACTATGTTGAGTGTATTTTGTCACAGACTACTTAATAAAGTTAAGTAAAATGTAAGTATTGATTTAATCCTTTATTGAGGGAAACCTGCACTATTTTGTTTAGGAAGAGATTAACAACATATTCAAATGTCATTCCATTAGCCAATTTATCTGGGTTACTTATTTGAATACGAATATCAGAAATCCTGAATACATTAGAAATTTCCTCTTAATTAATTGTTATCTTAATTAATTGTTTAACTAATTCATATGCCTTTCTTTATAAGAAAAATCCCTCTCCATTTCATACATGTACACCTTGTAAATGAGCCTCAAGTTTAAAATATGCTGTAAGCAAACTTTGAAAATTACTTTCCTTCTTGAAGTAATTTTAGATGTCATAACAAAGGGTCTGATCGACATGGAGTCTGTTTCTACAAAACTGGCTTAAGGAAATTAAATAATGACATATGTAGAGAATGTTGGATTTCTTCAGAAAATGCTGCTTATGTCATGATCATCATGATGATTTCAGCCTTTTAGTTATGTCTATTTTAAAAGGAAAACAATGTTATGTATATATGCCAATTATTAATTCTTTCATTTGTTTTGTAGTGCGGGTGGCCAGGCATGTCGACATCCTCGTCTTGATGTAAACAACCCTGCTATAATGAAATTTATTAAAGATACCAATCCGTTGGTATGCACATTGAAAGAAGATTGGGTTCAAATGAATGGAAGCACAGCTCGCATTACTGATGAAGCTAGAGAACATTATGGTTACATAGAATGTGCTTTTACTGGTATGTGATATGAATATCATTAATATATAATGAATCACAAATATAATGAATATTATCACAAATATAATGAATTTTATCAAATAACTTTTGAAGCTTTTATCTTTTATGAACAAATGTGAACAATATTTATCAACAGTGCTGCCTTTTTTTGTTATTTGGAAATGTTAGAAAATGTATGATTACTTGGTGTGTAGTTCAAGAAAGTTTTAAATTTCAGATATTTTTCGTGGAAGTGACCATTCAACACATGATGGTGTTATCACCCGGACTCATACTGAATATAATTTAGAAGAAACTGATTTTATTCGTGTGAATTGCAGATCAGAGAAGGGGAGCACGTAAGTCTGGCACACTGAAATATGGTTGTATATTTTAAATGTATGCATTTAAGGTAATATTTACTTCAAACAATGATTGCAGGGTTCCACACACTCTGCAAGTAGATTTCTTTGCATGAGTAAGTTGGTTAGTAGGCTTAAGAATTTGAATTTCGTACTATTCTTTGTATTTTATAGTTACTATACATAGCTCAATACATTTTGTTCTTAGATAATGCATGGCTGCTTAATTTGGGTCCTTTCTATGAAATGTGCAGCTTGAGGTCAAGAACATAATACAAAAGAACATTAGCAATTTTAAACATGAAGTGTTGTGTAGGGGATCACATTAATTTTATAAAATTAATTTGTACAAGATAAAATAACAATTATCTGTAATACTTGTTTTCATTTTTGATGATCTGATGTAACAGCTAAAAACACATTAGATATTTTGAAATAATTTATCTAGGTTGTTTATTGTGAAGTAAGTGGAATGTTTATTCCTTTTGTTTTATTTAATGTTCTCTTATTAATTTAATCTATTTACTGAAATAGACAAGTATATTTGACAGTTTTGGTTTTCTAGATATATCTGACCTATTTTCATGCAATATAATAGTGCAACTCAAGATTCTGCACATTTGAAAAGCAGCAAAAGTAATAGAATGCCCTCCCCCCTCTAATCTGATTTTGCAGATTACAACAGGAGGAACACGTTTAGAGGCCAATGACCTTGAAAAACCAGGTTTCAAAGGCCCTGGAACGCAATTGTTTTAAGTACCTAATTGAAGATCAATGTGACAGGGAACAGACTATTTGGCAAGTCATGGGTCACTTCTGGGTTGTATTTGCACCTGCCTGATTCCAAGGCAGTTTTTCAACAAATCTTAATAGTCATAAATTTCAATTCAGATTACAATTCATCTCTTCTCCAGGAAATTCTTTCTTTTGATTGCTCATTTGTTAAGATTGGTAGGGAGTGAGAGGTGCAAAAGGGATGTATACCGTAGAAATAATAAATAATCATAATAAAACAAAGGTGGTGGTGGTGGTGGTGGTGATGATAATGATGATGATGATTATGGTGGTGGTGATAATAAAAAGTCAAGATATTGAGAGAAAATGTAATTCAAGTGTGAGTAATAAATAATACATTAAGAAATACACAATGCATTAATAATATAGACGTGATTTTGTTTCAGATCATTTGTTGCGAACTAAATTTCAATTATAAAAACACTTGTCTTATATTCTAATAAATTTTGGAAAACGAATTTCACACTATAAAAACAAGGGTTGTCTTAAATTTGTTCCTTCTTATAGACAAGTATGATACTTGCTTATTTCCATGGTGCAATAGATAATGATTATTTTTTATACATATTTAACTAGTAGGCAAATTTGTTAAATTCCTTTACATTTAAATCATTTGATTACGTAGAAGCACTCTTCATGGTGATATTTAGAATACAAGTCAGACAAGAAAGGAAGAAAATAAAATTAAAGTCATTTTGGACTTTCAAAGTTAAAAGTTGTCATGTATTTCATACAAAGCTTTGCTTGCCTTAATTGCCAATAAAGAACTTCATGGCTTAACAAATTCGAAAGATTATTTTGTTCAATACATTTTAAAAATAATTTGATCCTTTACTTCATCATATGAAAACAAAATAACCATACATATTTTTTAGTTTTATTTCATTTAATGGGATACCCTCTGAGGTGAGCTTGAAAATTAATACTTTCATAATTCCAAGCTTTGATAATCTGCAAATATTGAGAGAAAACTGTGACCACGTTCTGTGTAGGGACAAATTTGGATACTTTTTTTCAGAAGTAAGCTGCTAATTTCATGATTTCTAGCGAATGCATGTGTTGGGCTACTAAATCCCACAGGTCTTTTCTTCTCTAGGGGGCTCTGTAACTGCCCGAAGAATCCATGAACTGCACAGATCTCAGTTTCTATGGACATTGGCATTGCATGCTTCCTTGCCGACAGGTGGCACAATGTGATGGCGGGCATCCGGCATGACCAGGACGTCCTGGACCGAACTGGCTGGGACAAGGTGCCGGAAGATGGTCTGCACCTGAATGTGCTCATATGGGGCTTTGACTCCCTGTCTCGCAACATGTTTGCACGCAAGCTGCCCCGCACCCATCGCTACCTGCGCGAGACGCTGGGTGCCTTTGAGCTGCAAGGATACAACATTGTGGGCGATGGCACTCCCCAAGCCCTCATCCCCATCCTTACTGGTTAGCGACTACCAACACCTCTGGTGTAGTAAAAGTGAAACAGCAGAGCATGTTTGGCTGAACTGGATTTGCCAAATCATAGCATAGTATTTAATTTCAGACCTTTCAGGTGAAAATTAATGCACTTTTAAGAGATTTTAACTATCAATTTTTTTTATTTAAACTTAGAAATGTATATTGATTACAAGTGCTTTGAATGCAAATAGTGTTTAACAATGTATTGTATTGTTTGGTAGTAGATATAACTGCTTGGTAGTCCACTTGTATCTTACTCTTTATTTCTTCTAGTATATATCAGATTGAAATGTTAGCATTTCAAAGCAAGTCATGTAATGTGAGTAAGGTCTGAAGAGAGTGACAATGTTTCCAACTTACAAACAAGAAAGACTTTATATACAGATTTTCTTGTTTGATTGAAAACTAAAGTGTATGCTGTGACTGAAAGCAATATCTGTTTTATAGGAAAGACAGAACTTGAATTGCCAGAAACCCGGAAACGAATGGGTGATAAAGCTTCTTACGTAAATGTTTATCCTTTTGCATGGAAGGACTTTCGAGCCAATGGTTATGTGACAGGTAAGTACTGAAAGACAAGAATGGTGTAAAGTAATTGTCTAATTCTGTCAAAAATTCTTTAGAGTGTAAAAAGAAAATATTTTGTGTTTATTTTATTGATATAACATACAAACCACAAGCTTAAAGAATTCAAAACATATCCTTTTAAGTTGATATATATCTTATATACAATAGCTGGACTAAAATTTGTTAGTTCAAACAAAATTGTTCATTAACTTCTGTTAATAAGCTCTTTGTGTCATCTGTCAATATTTTTACTTGTTATCATGACTTTAGCGAGTCTGCCTATAAAAGTAAAACATTCTGAACTTAAATTTTCCTAATGAGGATCAAAGTCATGCTTGTAAAACAAAAAGAGATTGAGTTTTTAACTAATTATTCACATTTTTCTTTTTAGGATATGCAGAAGATTGTCCAAGCATTGGAACATTTACTTACAGACTAAAAGGATTTGACGCCCCACCTACCGATCATTATATGAGGCCTTTTTACATAGAAGCTTCGAAAGTGTATTCGAAACAGCGCAATTATTGCCTTGGCTCAATACCTCGACATAAGGTAAGTTAATTTGTAAGAACTGTTTTTCATGAGTTAACTATTATTAGAAAACAAAATATCGGGAAAGTTATTATTTTGTTCAATGTCTACTTTTTACGACAATTTCTTGGAAGCAATTTCTTAAAGAACAGATGTTGGAGAATTTCTTACCAGTCAGTATTTTTCTTTAAACTTTCTTTTGTTACTTTTAGCTATGGATCATCAAAAGTTTTTAAACAGTGTGTTGTTTTTTCTGTGTGTGTGAGGGGGTGTTTTCGTGTGTGTGTGGGGTGTTTATAAAGAAAACCTACCCATGAATCAAATGTTTTAAATTCCATGTTGGTAGCAGATATATTGTGGTAATCCATAATGTGAGAAAGGAAATAATCATCCACAACTTTGAATGTAGACGATTATTTCCTTTCTCACATCAAATGTTTTAGATAAATTGAGATCATATTACTTATTTTTACAGAGCCTAATAATGAATACAATTATAGTTTTAATCTTAAAGTTTAAATTCTGTATCCCACACCATACAACCTGAAGTTCTTTGAGCCATTTTTATAATGATTTGAAATTAAACATTCTTTTTTAGGTGATGATGAATTATGTTCACGATTTCTTCAAAGTCTATAGAGACAAGCCAAAGTTCATGTTTGCCTTTCATGGGGAGTTATCTCATGACTCATATAATAGGATTGGAGCAGCAGATGAAGATATGCAGCAGTGGTTACAAACATTACTTGAAGAGGGCCATTTGAATTCAACCCTGCTTATTGTCATGAGTGATCATGGGCATAGGTAAGTGCCTTGCTGTAGAAATTGTTTCTTCTGTGATTCTTTAGTCATGCAGTTGGGAACATGGTATTTTTTTAAAGTATATATTAAAATGCAAGTGAAAAAAGGGAGTGAAAATGGAAACCGGTTTTCAACAATTATAATGTATGATGTTGCAATGAACCGTGGGTCAGACTTACTGCTGTCAAATTGAAGTTTAATATATCTGCCATCTCTTATTGTAGAAATTAAATAAAATGAAAAGGGGAAACCTATTGATGTTTTGGTTGGTAAATGCAGTCTTTCGTATATATATTACCAACACTTTTTACATTATACTATAATATTGGATCACTACTTATAAATTGTCAGCAACTTGGTTTGAACTCCTTTCTTTGTTTAATTGCAACTATCAGCTTTATATGATGTTCCTACATAGTTACTTCTTCTTTTCACTCATAATGGTCATAATGATGATTTACCATTAATTCTGTAATAACCTAAGAAATGTTACAACTCTTATTCAAATTATTTTTCAAATTATGAAACAGAACACATATTTATAATTTCAAAATCTGTCAATAATTTTTTTGTTCCATTCTGCAATAAACTACATACTTATATTTCAATTTATCACATTGTTATTAAGATTCATAAATATTAAAGCTTTATTTGTGAAATTAATGAATTTTTTCAAAATTATAATAAAAATTGTTAGATTAGAACCAAACATTTCTCTTTTTATAATATTTGCAATCAATATGAGCCGCAAACAATGGCACCTAAATTCTTTCTTGTAATACTCAAATATTCTTGTATTGATTTTGATTCTCTTTTTTCATATCGAATATCCAACTTGGAAATTGGGAACGTTATTAATTCAATTTTTTAATTAGATATATAATTATTACAAAACTCATGTTGTGGTGTAGATATGGGTATGACTCTAGCTCCCTGCCGTGGAAACTATGAAATGAATGTCTCCAATTTTAGAAAAACTGTAAACATTCAAGGAATTATGATACATGATTGAATTTTGCTATGTAAATAGCTGACCAAACATGATTTTTGAATATGGATGTAACTATTTTTTTTGTTGGCTCCCTCGCTCATTGAATACTTCAATTGTTTGGTATGAAATTTTCTGCAGAGATTATGGTTTTTGAAAACAATGTTTTCAAATGTAGTTTAAAACATGATTGCAAACTTGTTTGTTCATATTTTTTCTTTCCAACGGGTAGTACTAATTGCACTGCTAAAACTGACATAATGCTCTCTTTGCTTTTATTTTTATTTTTTTAATTACACAAATGTATTTCTTTAAAATATCTCTCATGCTGTTACTATGCACATTTCCAGCGATTTGTAAACACTATTCCATTTGCAAGTTAAATTGCCTCAAGTGACTTCAAATGAAGTTTTATGAAAACCCAAATTTTGTGTGAAAAAAATTTCAAATTTACAGTAATGCTTAAACACCATTTTCTTAAAAGTGGTTTCAAATTTTTCAATGAAAATTGCCATTTGTGATGAGATTTTACTCTTCCTTAATATTCTTTAAGTAATATTTCAGTTCTACTATTAGGAAACCGAAAAATTTGAAAAAAAATGTACTTTGGGTGGTTAAAGATGGCAGGTGGCAAACAGTTCGGGCAAGACCATAAAGCCGGTCCTCACCGAGGAAAATAGGAAACGACTATGTGACAGTATGTGCCATTCTGTAACATCACTAGTTTAAACTGTCTTGAGTTCTCCTATCATGATGCTAGACATTCAATTTGTGATGAGGTGAATTGAGTCATTTAAGAAGGTGCAATTGTTTGTAAAACATTTGTATTTTCAAGAATGTAGGAGTATGTTAATTCTTTTAAAATTTCCTGTGTATGTGCTTTTAAATCATTCCTATCCTAGTGTATCCTTAGTACCCTAGAGAAAGTAAAGAAACACTGCAAAAATTAGATGTGAGGATATCTGACTGACTGTCTCTCTCTTACTTTCTCTCTCTGTCTCTGTCTGTCTCTCTTTCTCTTTGTCTCTCTCTGTGTGTCTCTCTCGGTCTCCCTCACTCGTGTTTCCCCTCACTTTCTCCCCCTCACTCTGTCTTTCTCACTCTGTCTCTCTCACTCTGTCTCTCTCACTCTGTCTCTCTTACTCTGTTTCCCCTCTCTCTGTCCCCCTCACTCTCTCTCTCTCCCTCACTCTGTCTCTCTCTCTTTCTCTCACTCTTTCTCTCTTTCTCTCTCTCTCTCTCTCTCTCTCTCTCTCTCTCTCTCTCTGTATCTTTGTCTCTCTGTCTGTCTCTCATTCACTCTGTCTCCCTCACTCTCTTTGTTTTTCTCTCAGTCTGTCTCTGTCTCTCTCTATGTTTGTTTCTCTCTCTCTGTCTGTCGTTTTGTCGCTGTCTGTCGCTTTCGTATCTTTCTGTATCCCTGTGTCTTTGGGTGGGTGGGTGTGTATGTCGCGTCTTTTTCTCACGAAGGTGGGTGGTATGGTGTTATGTTCATAATCGCTGGGTTGCCCCTACTATTAGGTTTGAGAGGCCATGAAAGTCAATCTCACTAAAGCCAAACTTCCCTTCTCGTCCCTCAATGCATAACCGCCTGTAGCCCTGCATTACATTGCAGGGAGTGGAATCGTGCCTCAGTCATACTATATATCTATTTTATCTTGGAAGAAGTCCACTGGCATCAGATTTTCCCACCTGACTTAACTCCAGCAGTTAAAAATCACATTCCCACTAATTGGTTTCAGAACGCTTTTCGCCCTTTCTCTCTCTTTCTCTGTTGCTCGCATCTTCGCACTGGACCTGTTTCCTGCACTTCAGACTATTGTTGGTAGTCACTGAGAGTGTAGCGCTCACTGTCCTCCCACCGATATTTGTCCTCGCCAAGATATCGCTCACAAATTCGTCCACAATCGATCCCATGTAACTTCTGCGACACGCGCTATCACTTTGGTGTTGGGCTGGGCTACATTCAGGGGGTGAGAAATCATCCAGGACTGCCCATCTTCGTCTGTGGATCCAGTTTTCCAAGCATTGAAGTCGCCTGCGATTAATCTCGGATTAATCTTAGAACTGACAAAGAGGCCGTTCCCCAAATTCCAGAATCACACAAAGTGAGCACTAACAAGGACAGAGAAAAACCGTAAGAAAGGAAGGTGGAAAGGGTGATCAGGTGCTGGCTTTTCTCTCTCGTTCTCTTAAGTATGGCATGTAACATCGGATTATGGCCTACGAAAAACAAAACGGCTTCGAGAATGCGCTCAAGAAGCGATTTGAAATGTTCGTATTCAGAAAGCCTTGCTGCAAGCATTTATACTGGTTGAATAGTTCTTTCGTAAGCGCATTATCGGGTGTATGTCATTTCAGATATGAGCAATCGGATCGTGTTAAAACGTGTTCGCCATTGGTCTTCGCTGAACGAATCAACACGAATCTGCTTGCTCGAGTCACTTTGGACCTTAAGCTTAAGCGCGCGAAACTTGGTGATTAGGAGGTACAACGTTATAAATTCATCGAATTTCTCGTAACAGCAATTGTTCGTACCACTTTTCCCTGCCTGTTCTCGAGAAAGTGAATCCCATTGCCAACGCGCACATCCATAAGTTTTGTGAATCGTAATGTTATAACTCCATATCTACCCAATTGGATGAACAGGATAACCAAGATTCCACGGCCTTACCCACAGTCTGCCCAACTGCCTAGGGAAGAGGCTCTTCAAGAGCAACTATTGACCGAAGCGTCTAGAACTTCTTCATTTAATAACAAAAGTTACGATCAAATGTAATTAACAAACGATTGTCTGCCACATTGGTCAGTTGTGTAAAAATTACTTGCATGTGAAAGTTAACTGTAATGTAATGGTATTAATATTGTTGTATTTGGTTATTGTATTCGATATGATTAGCTCAGAGCAGAGGTAGTTCTGGTTGATAGTAATATTTGCATATAATAATAACTTCATGAGAAAGGAAGCTAATATTCTGTATAATTGTACTGGATATTAATATACTGGATATAATTGTACTGGACTATAATTGTTGTGGATCCGGAAATGTTTCGCCATTGCAATGTATTACACTGCACACGCTGCTGGTCATGCGATTGTTCATCACGTTTTATGCTATACTCTACAAAAATTGTGGTAGATGAAATACTTTCTCGCGAGTATGAGTTTGTTGCAACTCGTGGTTAGGGCATGGGTGTCAAGTATCCTATTGTTAAAACGTTATCCTTCAAGTTTAGGCATGCATTCGCTATGACAGTCTTGGAGAAATTTGATTTGCTTCTCCGAGATAACGTTCAAACAATAATTTCGGCCGATATTTCACAATCGCAGGGGCAGAATATGCAGAGAAGATTAGCCTAATACTGGAATGTGAGGCGGGTTGCATAGAGCTTCTGTGCGGGGCGTTTGAGTCGGCATACTAAACGCCTAAAATTATCAACGCCCATCTATGTGCTGCAGACACATTCCCATTGTACTATGCCTATATTCTTCCTGCAAGTGCAAGCAATAAATTGACAAAGTTTTATCTCATTGGATGTATAAGCATAAAATATGAACATTTATTTTTATATATTGGATAATTTGTAATTAGCCCAATTAGCGAATAATTACAAATTTTTAAAAAAATGGAGGCCAATGTTACTTTTTGAGAGATAATTTAAAATTTAGAATATTTTCAAGAACTTTTGCAAGTAATTCATATCTTAAATTTGTCTAGGACAATCTCCGTCAACCCTAATACAAATTTTCTCTGGCCAAATAATATGCATTTCCAATATTGGACATTTCAGTGGAAATTAATAAGAGAAACAGAGGGCCATTGAATTTATATTCTTAATTAATAACAATTATATTATTAATAATAAAGTGTTATATCAAAAGGGAAGTGCACTATTGGGCCTCATTATACATAATTAGTTTTGTGTGTATAAGTAGTATCATATTACAGAAAAATAAATTATGTACAAAATTATTATTATTGTTATTATTATTATGATTATTATTATTACTAACTATAATTAAATTGTTCATTAGCATAATCTGATATCCATGTTTATTTTTCTAGGATTGAATACATATTTACAGGTAGTACCACAAATCTTAAATGTGCTTTTGTTGTTGTTTTTTTTTGATAGATTTACTGAGATTCGTAATACTCAACAAGGCAAACAAGAAGAGAGACTACCAATGTTTTCTCTGATATTCCCTCAGTGGTTCATTCGAGCTTACCCTGATGCTGTTGCAAATTTGCGTCGAAATATACAAAGACTTACCACACCTTTTGACATTTATCCAACTCTACTCAATGTTCTTCATTTTGATGGTGCTGGACATGGTGATATTAAGAACAGATCAATAAGTTTATTCAAAGAGGTAAGTGGGAAAAATGTGCTGAATATTCTGTGTAAACATAATTAGTTGATTTATGAATATTTTCACAAATGATTTTGTATTCATTTATCATCAAAAAATAGTAAAAAACTGTGACATACTGTAGGAAAAAGTGAAATTTTAATTATATAATTTATGAATTCATAAAAACTGTCATTTCTACTTTCTTTCCCAAAAACTTATCAAATAACATGTTGCAATGTTAAGAGAAAATAAATATTTTTTTAAGTGGTTCTCTTTGTTTGAAATTCATCCTTCATTTTATAGATTTAAATAGAAATTGTACAAAAGAAAGAAGAAAAAAGTTTGTTTTTTTTGCAAAAAAAAGTCTGGTAGGAAAAAATTCATTTAAGAGATATTTAATTTGTATATCTTCATTAGAAGTGATAATTCACATGAATGAAGGGTGAGATTTGTGTTTCTGAAATAATATAGCTATTATATTATTTAATTCTTTCAATTTTGAGTATCTTCCTGTAATCCTTAGTTTGTTTGATTCGTTTGTTAGTCTCAAGTTGTAAGTCAATCTTTTCCCTTCAATCATACTTTCAATTGCTACATTTTCTTATTTTTCATTTCAATTTGAAAAACTTGTACAAATTTTGATCTTAATAATTAACTTTTATTTTAAATAATACACATTTCTCTTGTTTTAGAATTAGGTTGAAATGGCTATGGCAGATATTTACCAAACCTTAACTTAACATTGAATTTGTTTTATATTATATTTATGTATTTGTATGGTTGTGTTTTGATCCAAGATGATAAAAATAGACCAACCACTAAAAAAACAAAACAACAGTGAACTAGTGTCATATCGCAAACACATTTTTAATGAATAAACCACAGCCACCTGCAGAGAATGAGAGCATCAAATATTTAGTATAGTTTGACACTAATACACTTATAAAAACAGTAATAAATAAAATTGGAGGCCAATAAACCCACACACAACAACCAACCAGGAGTTGTTAATAATAATGTACTATATATTTTCTGGAGTATCTGGTGAGATTGAGAAATTTACTATAGACTTTAGGGTAAACAACCCCTGTGTTTTAACACACTTTCATTACCTATGTTTGATAATCAGTGGCACATTGAAGGGGAGGGGGATTCATGAATCTTCAGGGTTCCCCCTCGCCCCACCAACTATTGATACTTAATAAAAATATGTTTTTTACTAATATTCTGTGTTAATGAAAGTCATTCAACATATCAATTGTTAGTGCAGATCCTATTATATTATAACAAATGTGTATAATTCAGTTATTTCTTTTTATTTTATTGCTTTCATTCTGACATTATTGTTACTGAAAACCCTATTTGTTGTTTTTCTCTTGCAATATAATTTCTATTGGCACATTTCATTGTTCTGTTTCATAATGTGTGAATTTGATTTGTTTTTACTAGTTTTGAATAAGTCAACTCAGGCATGGATGGTAGTCAATAAAGTAACACTACTTTTCTGCTTTTTTCACCTGCAAATAAGTTTTTTAATGAAGTCAAAATGGAGTACTTTGCAAGCTTGAGTGGAGCGTCACTGCATTTGCGTCAGTCGTTGTTTGATTAAAAGGAAATTTCTTGTTAGTAGCCTTTCGTTTGTGTGTTGTGATCTTGAGTAGACTTGACAAAGCTGTCAACAGGAATTTACTAGAAATGGATGAATTGAAGGTCACTCGCAATTTTTGTCAGGGTGACAAAGGTTCTATTGTTTTGAAATCACAATTGTCAGAATTAGATTGTGTTGCAAATAAATAATCTTCCTTGTATTATAGACAAACAAAAATTTGTTATGTTAATGGTGTTTATTTAATTAATTCAATTTAAAAAGTATAAAGAGAACATTTCAAATGCTTATTTTCTTCTTCATCAGGTGATCTACAAATTTGTAAGTTTATCATAATAGATATCTAAACAAGTTATACTCACATATTTAATTATAATAGAATTTTATTTAAATGGAATTAAATGAATGAGTACAAACAAAAGTTCGTTAGGAAATGCAACGTGAAAATTGAAAGAATTTGAATTCACTCTCATATATAGTTGTATGTGCAAAAGAATAAAACATTTATAGCTCCTGATTTTATTTTTACACATATTGTGGATTTATTTTTTTCAAATAAAAATTACACACTTTTTTAATTAATTATAGTTCCTTTTTCGTTTGGTAAATTAAATACACTTGTTAATTAAATGATAAATTGTTGATTTTCACTACATTAATTGCAAGCATGGAATTAAAACTCCACAAAACCAATCAGAACTCAGGAAAAAACTCGTAACTAGTAATGCTACAGAATGACACAGACTATCTAGTATTGATAGGTTTTTAATCTCCTTAGTCTGGGATAGCTTTTCCGTTTTGTCCTACCCTCTTTCTAGTTGCCATCTGTTAGCACAATAAGGGCAGTTCCCCCATTTGTCAGTTCCCTAATGATATATTTGAAATTTGGCTTTAAGAATATAATAGAAGAGTAGTTCTACATACTAATTTTCATTGAAAAATTTGGAGCCAGTTTTGAGAAAATAATACCTTAAAAATTGCCTGTTTCACACAAAATCTACTTATATTTTGAAAAAATTGTATAAGACTTTATTTCAATATCTGTTTTGGGGGAAAAGATTTCATTAAGGAAAAAAATTAAATATTGTAGTTGTAAGAAGACTGTGGGAAATTGTTGAAATTTTGCAGTTTTCAAAAATTCATCAAGTTATTTTTACACAGTGAGTGAAAGATACAAGTTCTTTGGAATGAAGTGAAAGGGATAACAGAAATAAATAGAAATAGTATTAAGACACTGTACTATAAAGACACTGTACACTACGACATAGATATGCTCTCACTTAACTAAGGCTCTCACTCAACTATGACCACAAAGTCTGTAAGACTTCATGACTGTTACAGCACACTAAGAGTAAGCGTAGGCTTTGTTCCCATTGTTTCCTCGTGAAGCGTAAAATAAATAATACAATTGGAACAAACACTAGCTGTTTTTGCAATATATCTCTATGTGATAAATGTAATAAATTAGTATTCATGAAGTACTTTGTTCACTCATTTTCTGAAAATAAGAAATCAATTTAAATATAAAATATTTTGTTTCTTAAAAAAATCATGAATTTTTCAGTTTATAAATAAATATTATTTACTTGTGTTAGATAGTGTTTATGATCTTTCTTATTTTTGAAATGACTTTTTCAGATTCCTGTGGAACGAACGTGTGCTGATGCATATATTGAACCCCATTGGTGTGCTTGCCTAGATTGGCAAGCTGTAAGTATTTCCGACAGGAAAGTTGTACGTGCAGCTTATGCATTTGTTGAATTTATTAACAAGTAAGTTGTTTCAATTTCTTTTTCTGTTTCAATATTATGGTTATTGTGAAGCTAAAGAACTACCAAGAATGTTTATCTTCTCCTTCGTTGCAACTGAAAGTAAGTGATAGTGTTTGTGTTATGTTCCAGACTTACTGAAGAACAGAGAGAATTATGTTCCAGGGTGAAATTAGATTCTATTCTCTGGGCTGCTAAACTTGCACCCACCCAAGGTCTTCTACATTTTCAACGTAATGCAGATTTTGATGGATTTGTGGGTGATTTTTCTGCTCGAACAAGTTTGTCAGAAGAAATGTATCAGCTCAAATTACTTGTAAATCCTGGTGCAGCCCTCTATGAAGTTTCTTTAACTCACAATCTGAAAAAAGATAATTTCTCTATAAATGTAAGTAAATTCAGATACTTCAGTTTGGTCATTTGGGTTTCTTGAACTAATTTCTTTTCTTTAATTCTTGTTCATTTTACTATAAATCATTCATATTCTCCAAAACATTGATTTACTTTCTCTTGTATATAATGAAAGTCATAGTAATTCCAAGAAGTGGCCCTACATCAGCACATTCTCTCTTGTATTATTGTTATACAGTAATAAGACCTTATATAGAAATAAAGTAATATTTTTGCTTCTGTCCATCTACCCGTATATCGTCCATCACACATGATTAGACCCCTTTGAGTCCACCAATCGAAACAAATGAGAGGTTATTTGATGATGGGCCTTGGTCTCCCGGTGGGTATTTTTCTCCCCAGATATCAGTAAAGGGGATAATATTCTCCAAATATTCTCCAAAATTGATATTTCTCAATCGATTTGACTGTTGTTGTGGCCCTTTGAATTTGAAACTGATATTTTAATTTTGGAGTGTTCTTTACATGAAATCCCTGGGACATTTTTCAAATTTTCCAAAAAATGACTCCATCATTTTTTACTAAATTTTGTTGTTGGAAAGTGTTTAGGAGAATGGTGTAGATTTCATATTCATTAAAAACTAATTTTTCAAAAATTGCAAACAGTCAAAATTTTTTTGGCGTCTTCTACAACTAAAATATTAAAGATAGAAATTTCTTCCCGTGATAAAATCTGTTCTTTTTCAAAAATTTGAGAACTTTTCGTGTAATTTTGCATGGCATGATTTACATTACGGGCGAGAAAGTACATGCTGTTTTAGCATCACTAGTTTAATTTAACTTTGTCTTCACATATTGTAGTGGATGTTTAAGAGAATGGGATAGGCCACTGAAACCTCTGATACCTCGAAAATTCCAAAAGTTCATTCTTTTTGTTGGAAGGGCAACATCTTACAATTACAATATTGAGGATTGAGATTTTTTTCCCTATAATGAAAACTGTTCTTTAAAGACAGATGCTGAAATAAGGCATTGTTCAATTTCTCAAAAATATGAGTAGTTTTTGTGTAATTTTGCACATAAATTAGCTAAATTTTTTTTCTCTCTCTCAAAAACTGCTCCACATTTTTTCTTTAAATTTTCTGCTCGTATGTATGAAAGGATAGAAAAAATATGGTGCTATTACAATTTTGGAAAATTGCAAACATAAGTTTTTAAAAAACAAAAACTGTGATTTTGTCTTCAACAGTCTGTTATAAAAAATCATCTCTGAGAAAAGGCAATGCACAATTAAAAAAAAAAAACAACTAGATTTCGTGTAATTTGTTCTTGCAATTTATATAATTTATAAAAACATTATCAAAAACTTTTCCAAAATTTTCTCTGCAAACTGCAAATGCAAAAATGCATATGCTCAATGGTAAAAAATATGGTGCTAGTCTTATTTTTGGCAAACTCTCCATATTTTCAAAAATTGCATAACATTAACATTTAAAAAGTATAAAAGTGAAAATACCAATTTTTGCCTTAATCAAAGTTCATTTAAAAAAATCAGCTCCTAAGTTACTTTTTTTTCTCAAGTTCAAGTCTTGGTGCAAAAGCTTTTTTTTCTTTCTTCTCTCTTTGTTATCCATTTTACAGATGTTAAATGTTATAGCATATTATAGAGGAGCAGTCAGAAATAGTGTGACAAAGTATGTGTTGTTGTAACACCAGTAGTTTCATCAGAAATTACTTGCTGTGTAAATATGCAATTAGTAAATTTTTAATTTTATTAACAGACCTTTTCCATTGTAGTTGGCAGAGAATAGATTTTGTCAGTAATTGCCAGATCTTATTCTACATCCCCACAGAAAATCTCCTAAACTTTTTTCTACATATGATTCTAATCATCATGATAAAAGATGGTGAAAATATTAACTATTCCTAGGAGTGATATTCCTCTATAACTCCTGCAGTCTAGTTTATTGCCTGCATCTCAGCAAATATTTCCTAGCAAATAGTTGTCACTATCCATAGATGTCATGATTGGGGAAATATTAATGTCACTGCTATAAAACTGTTCAAAATTTATTCTCTTTCATATTTAAATACCATAGAGTCAGTACAACTGCCATTGTTAGGATATGATATATCGCTCCAATCCCAAATCTTACAAAGGTAGAAAAGCGTTTTTCTGATCAACTCCAGGCAAATGCTTACCCTAAAGAACTGTGCACCTGTGATCTTTCATTCTCATTCTTTGTCCTTTCCTTAACACTTACTTACAAGCACTTACACTTACATTCACTACACTACCACACACGGGAGTTTACAGTTTGTCTTGCTGGTGGAAGTGGTGGGTTGGAAAAAACAACTTGCAAGTAGCCTGGTAGGTCAATGCTGGATCTCGCCATCCAACAGGGAAAAATCACTGTCATGCCCACGAGTGAACGTGTACTACACTTACAGGACAAATTACCTCAACTGTTGACAGGTCCGAAATAATCAATCTAAACTAAACCTTAGAAACAAAAACCAAAACTGGGACTAGTTCAAGTTTTCAAGAAGATGATATCTCCAGTATTGTGTTTTATTACTGTTTCTCTAGAATAAAATTTGTTTGATATTTGATGAGAATCTCTAGTTGTAAGATGAAGAATGTATTGTTGTCCTGAGAACGAAGTTATTATACCTACTAAACTACTAAACTTTTACCTACAAAATTTTGGTAGTAGTAACCTTTGGTGATTGGTCAGTTTTCCTTATGAAGTGGTTTATCTGCCGGCTTGGATACCGGGCTGTGAATATCATCAGTTCAATACTTCAGGCTGTTGGTTTTGTAAAGGGTTTGTGGCCTTCAGCCTAGCCACATAGTATCAGTTTATGTAATTAGGTGGTATGTGTAAATAATTTCCTATTAAATAACAAAAAAAGTTTTAAAATTAAATAGTTTTTCTAATGACAAAATTTAAAACTAATATTATTTTCTAAAATATACTGCCTTTTTTTTCCTTTTTTTTTCTTTTCTTTTCTTTTTTTTTTTCCTTCAACAAAAGTCTACTCCTGTTTGGCTTGAAAGATCTTATTTTTACTGACACATTATTGCTTGTTATTGTCTTTGATGTGGAACTCAATATTCACTGCATAACTTACCTGGATTGGCATGGTCAAGGTTACAAGGGAAATATGAAAACAGTTGAATTTTGCCTTATGTTCCCTTATAGAGGGAGTTATGAAAGGAAATTATGGGAGGGAAATATGAAAAGACCAACAGAGTCAAGTTAGCAAGTAGGTAACATCTTAATTAGTAAATAAGTAAATCTGAATCAATATTATTAAGTAAAAAATAAAATTATGTATCACAGATGTTAACCCATTAAGGACCAAGCATTGAAATAGTGACATTTTTTAAAATAATACTTGGTTTTTACTCAAATATTACCCTAGAAAGGATATAAAGGTCATTTATAATTTTTTTTAAACTAATAGTCATTGAACTACAAAGTGTTGCATATATACAACTTTCAGACAATAGGGTATATAAATTCATCTTGACATGAGACTACTAAAAACAGTCTGAATGGAGATGAACATTGCATTTTTTACATTTGTAAATTGTAAAGGGCACCACCTTCGTTTGGTTTCTCCCTTTATAATCACATGTTCTACATCATAATTGATTGACTGATGATTTTGGTCAATCAACTGCTAACTTCATTAGTCCCATAAGTGGGGTGCATTTTTTATGTCCGGATGTTGGCTTGCAGGGTTTTCCCCAACAAAGTATCTCTTAGTGGAGCACTGCCTCGGACAGGTCCAGTTCTATGCTCCCTGGCAAGTGTAGTAGAGTAGTGCAAGTAAGTGTAAGTGTGTGCAAGTGTTGATCAAGTAAACCAAGGAAAATTACCGACAGCAGCCAGCCGCAAGAATTTTTCTCCAGATGGCGGCTGTACTCAACCTAGCTAATCTAATGTCATGAGTTATCTCCAAGTTTCAAAATTCAACGAAGAAAACTTTATGCTCGGATATGAATGAAAAGTGCAAAAACTGATCAAATGACAATTTTTCGTAATGTGACAGTGATACAGAGCAAATTAATATCAATCGTCTTTCTAATAAATAAATATACTCACTATTATGACACTGATCCACTGTTGCAAATCAATATTTCTCCTTGTTTCCATATTCATTATGTATATGAGAAAGTAAAACACTCATAATTAACTAATTTTAGTGTTGGCATACTTGTGATATTTCAATAATGTTTTCTGTTTTGATTTCAGGCATCAGATATTAGTCGCATCAATCGTTATGCACAATTTGCATACTGTATTACAGAAACACATCATCATTTACGAAAATATTGCTTCTGTCGTGAAAAAGGTCCAGATGCACATTAAAATGGAAGAAATTCAGAGAATTAAGACTGTGAGGGAAGAGACTAGAGTCGTCTCTCCTGTTTAATTCGTTCAGTCCAAAGGAACATACGTAATGTTATCTTTGGAAATGGCAGTGATTGCAATTAGAACAAGTGGTGCTGTGATCTTTGTTGAAGCACAGTGTTATTGTGTGAGAAATCAAACATATACTGTTAAGAACAAGTTACTTTGTTAATTGAATTACACCTCTTCCGTATTTCTGTGTTGTTGGTCTTGAGAAGAATTTGCCTCACACTTCTCATCTGCATTTAATGTTCTAATAAAATGTTCTTGCATCCACAGTTGACACATTCAGTGGTAATATGTAAGATTATTTTCTTCATTACCAGAAATTAAGTGAGGCAATGTTCAAAAAAACTTATTTATGTGTGGTGAAATGAGACAATGCATTTCAGTATTTCATTGAATGTTACAGTCAGAAAGCATTTCATTTAATAAATGTTCCTTTACTTTATTTTGTATTTTTTAGAGGTTCATATGGGTAGTTAGCATAAATGGTTCTTGAAGCCAATGAAGACTGAAGGAATGTGTTGAATTTTGTAAATTATTTTTATTTGTTGTACCATTACGAAATAATTGTATTATATTTATTTTCTGGTTTAATTTTCAAAATCTAAAAACTTGCTTACCAACAGTAAGACAATTATTTTGTGCCAAAATATTTACTTCCATGTAAAAAATGTATAAATATTTTACATCAAGAGGTATATTGAACCTTGTTCATTTCTGTCCCTGGGAAATTGAGATAAATAAATGGAGATTGTTCCTTCTAAAACCTTATTCATTTACATGCCCTCATTTAGTCATAGGGATGAAAGAATTGAGAGATTTCAATTAAAATGATAATATAGCTTGCTGTGATAATATAGTTCTTCTGTTTTACTTCAAAATTCTTGGTCCCCTATATCCTCTAAAAAAACTGCTCCTGAACCACTGATCCACCATTCTACTCTGCCTATCTAAACAGAAAAAAAAATAGTATGTTTAACTTGTTAATTATGTTTGTATAGCAAGTGTGTTTTGGCTGTTTCCTGTGATGCATTAATCAGTTTATCTGTCCATTCTGTCTACCTCTGGTCACTGTTCTTTCTATTTATTTGAATTACACTATATCCTTGATAATCAATCTGGTTTAATTCTTTTCTTTTGCAATTGTATTAATGTAAATGTAATCTAAAGATTTATGCTAGATTTTATTATCCCAGTGTAACAGTATGATTTGTAGTTTTATGCATATGTATAGGTCTTTGACGGATTGGATCTGGTTTATAGATTAAATTAGTTCATACAAAGTCTGTAAGAAATTCTTTCTTGAACAAAATGGTTTCATGTGACAGCAAAATTAAGCCCCAAGGTATATACATTTGCAATGAGGAAATAGCCAATAAGGGCAGTAAATATAATTTTTAAAATAATAATTGTTTTTTTCAGAATTTAAAATTAATGTAAACAATGTAAAGAAATTACCAAGAATTGTGTGAACCTGCAGTTTCTGAACTCTTGTTCTGTGAACTGAACAGTGAATGCAGGTTACTTTTTGTGAAACATTTCTAGATTGAAATTCTATGGAATGGAACAAAATCTGAAGATGCAAGTGACTTTTGATCAAAGATTGTGATTTTTTTTAGTTTAGTTTGAATACATTTATCAGTACATTGAAAATGGATAAGGTACGATAAAACCTATTTCTGGCTTTATTAAGGTGTTTCTGAACCACAATATTTTTATTAAAACTATTTTTGTGACAAAATAAATGGTGTTCCATGCCAATTTTTGGTCTATCCTGTGCCCTCCCAACCATTGCAATGTCATCTACATATGTTAATCTATAATAAACTTGAAATACTTTTTTCTCATCTTGAAAAACTTCTCAAGGTTTTAATAAAATGAGGTATTTTTGAAGGAGTCATTCAGAAAAAAAACAATTTTCAGAATTCCATTAGTGTCACCTCTACACTATCTGTTGAATTTCAAAAGTTTAAATTGAAATTAAAATGAACTTTTTGGTCTACATTTACCAAGTTGTTTGAATTCCCTAAGAGATGAAAGACGAGGTATTCTCTCACTCTTGGGGTGGGGTGATTGCCGGTGCACTCCCTAAAATTAAGTCGACTGGCGCGATGATGTTGCGGAACCATTCATTGGCTCCGCAACTCATGAAAATGCCCCCACAATTGCATCATACAAAACAGCTAGATGTAGTGGCGTCATACCATTTATACTTCGGTTTTCATAACGTCAGGGCGTCTTCACGACGGAATATCTCGCGGTACGTATTTTGCATCTTTTTCGGTCGCGTCGCTAGATGCTGCTCATAATAAATGCACGCACACTGTTAGCCGCTTGTATTTGGCAACGTTATGGGCGCCGACCATTGCGCCCAAACGAGTTTGGTGAAGTAGGCGAGCTTCTTCATCCAAACGTCCCGCATGGCAATCCTCAATAAAAAGCGCTTCCATTGCAGAGTAGCGCAAATAAAAACGATTGGACTGAACTGAACTGTCACGCGCTTGCTGAGCGTTCGGAGAGTGGTCTGTAGTGGAGCAGGGCGAGGGGCTCATCTGTTTCATTGGTCCATAATGCAATTAATTCTTTGATATATGCGTGTGTTATCGCCTTGCGACAAAGGCGCTGCTCACCGTTCGTACTTCCGCCTATCGCAAATGACTTGCAGCGTCCTATCGCAGATTATTAATTAGCGGCGGTTACAGTGCAGCTCAGTCGACAGGAACTGGAAAAGGGTGGTTATCTGGAAGAAGGTCATAAAAACTTTTTTTCTTTGGGTATGTTGTATGCACCCAGTCAGCTGTAAGCTACAGCTTTTCCAAGAAACGCTATTTTTTCATTCCTCGAAAGGGTGTGCAAAAATGCACATGTTTGTGATACTATAATTATTATACTATTATTTATCTCATCGTCAGTGTAAACATTGTCTCATAAATTTGCCATTTGTCGAAATTGTTAATATGCACAGACACACAAATGTGTATGATGTATGAGTGAAATGAATATGTATGTGTTCGTAACTCTTCAACGCAGGAACAATGTAATTTCAGCAAAACTTGATATATAATGGGAAATTACAATGGGGAAAAGAATACATTGAAGGTAAGACATCCCTAGAAGTGAGGGTGGGAAGGAAGTAATATTTACTAACAAAATCATTATGCAATCCGCAATGTACATGTCGCATGTAATGTGCTGGGCAGGGACAATGACGGGCTGATATTTTTATTAAAAAGATTGTGATAAAGAAATAGATTTTAACGGGCATAACGTTTCCTATTTATGCATTTTTTTCTTTCTAAATATAACGCTAAACGACGTAAGCGACAGAACAGAACAAAAAAGCTTAGATTGGTATGCCTGCCGGTCACCTGAATATTGGGGCCTGTGTTTGGCATTTAATTTGTAACTTTTTGTTCACTCAGTGATTTCTTTATGCCAGTTTTATTGCAGATTTTTTTAGTTATAGTTTGTTCATCTTTTGTAAGTAATCTTGTGGTTACTTTCTTAATTTTAGTAGTGCCCGAACGTTCGTTGTAGTTCATTCATTGGTGGTGTACATCATCGCGATGTTTGGTGGTGTATTATAAGGGGGAGCAATGTTTTAAATACCATAAAAAATTGCTAAAATGGGATTTTCATAAAAAACAAATAATTTCCATGTTTTAAAGTACATAATAAAAAATGCCTCTCAACAGTTACCATAAATATTGGAGCAATTTACTGACAGAAAATTCATGAAAGTAATATACACAGGATGTCCATGGAGGGAACGTCGAAACTTCGCAAATAAGCTCGTAAGACAATTTTAAGCATATTTTGTCTAATAAACTATATAAACTATAATTACGAGCCACCTTTGAAAAAATGACGTTCGAGCGTTTCTGATAATGCGGAATTTTGAGCACATTTTCACCGACTACTGGGTTTTGGAAAAACTTTATCTGACATGATTTAAAGCACATGTACTCATAAATACAATAATCTGAACAAATTGACTCTGTATGTAAATATTAATGTCGTGAGAGATCATACATTATGTAATTGTTGAAAAACAAGAAAATACAGCAATGTGGTGTTTTATATCATCGTATAGAGTACATTTTGCATTAGAACTACCAAACGTTTAAAGGACAAATTTGGAGTCGTTTTTGAGAAAATCTTGTTTTTGTAATTTTTTAGGCTCCCTGACGCGGTCTTATAAAGGGCCGAATATATCTTTAATTTCGTAGTTGTAGGAAGAATCTGAAAAAAATTCAAACTTTTCCAATTTTTGAAAATTCTGAGTCAACCGTGAAAATTAGATAGGAGAAAATTTTGAAAATGTCCCAAGGACTTCATGTAATGTACCCCAAATATTAAAGAATGTTTTTCAAAATCTCAAAGCTTCGTCTCGAGCCAGATAAGGGTTTCTTCCATTTGGGAAAAATCCTGTGCGTGGTTTAGGCGCTAGTGGTGTTCTCAGGCGGTCGGACGCTTTTTAAAAAAACTGTTTCGGAATCACGGGACCCCAAAACGTGTAGTTCCGTTGAAATCTCGAAATCGATTTTTCGCAGCATAACATAACTCCTTTCCCTATTGTACGTATATTACTCTGTATATACGTATGTAAACGGGAAAGTAAAAATGGAAGAAAATTGGTAGAATAAAATATATTTTGTGTAAACAGCAAAATATGAAAACTATGTAATATAGTACTAATTAATAAAAATCGTTTTTTGGCAATCAGACAGAAACTTCAGAATATAAAGCTGAAGGAGCAGAAATATTTTTGACAATTTTTACGGTAAAGAGATAGTGAACGAGAGCACTGGGTGATCTGTACGTTCCAGGGACTTTTAAAGTCGGTGATAAACCCTGTTTTGTCTTGCCGTTTTGCCACGTGCCTGCAAATACAACACGCTATCGTGGATGTTGCACCATACCATCAAGTTTGGGGAGACAAAATATTCGTTATGATCAATGCTGGTCGTATAGCACACTCGTGGCCTAATTAAAATAATACGATATGCACCTTAAACACCTCTCATATGGCGAGTATTCTCAAATGGCGTGCTGAAGTATGTAGCTGCAGACAATCGGGACTGGAATGCTCTACTGAAGGCAACGTTTTTGAGCATCCATGTGGCAACTCCTTTGAAACTGACAAGGTTAGGATTAGCATTTCATTTGCCCTTTAAAATTTTGCTCAAGGGGATGTCAAAACCTTTTCTTATGTTGAAGAAAGAAGTTAATTTAATGTGGCTCTTGAATAAGAAACATCAGGTACGTTTTCTACAACAGACTTCATCGCATAATTTGCAAGCCCAACATAACCAAAGAAAAATATTTCACGACCTTTTTTCAGTAAACGGTACATATTGACTGGACTATGATTAGCGTGGCAGGCTCCGCCCGCGCTGTGCATACCGGATGCGACTTCCGGCATACAGCCGCCGCCGTTGCGCAAAGCTGAATACAGCATTGCAAAAGCAAATACGATGTTAATACTTTCAACTCTTATGTAGTACATTTCGCACTATCACTACCAAAAGTTTAAGGAAAAAATTTGGAACCATTTTCGAGAAAATGTTTTTTGTAATTTTTTTAAATTACAAATTTCCCGTAATATTCCTCGAAAACAACTAAAATATTTAAAAAATGAACATAACCTTATTGAAAGAACTGACTATCAACAAATTTCATTTGAAGGAAAAATCTCTATCTTAAATTTTGTAGTTGTAGGAACACGCCTGAAATATTTTAAACTTTTGAAATTTTCGAAAATTCAGAGTTAACCATGAAAAAGTGTATCTTACTCTATTCTTAGAAGAAATTCAAAGAAAATAATTGGAGCCGTTTTTGAGAAAATTTTGAGAATGCCCCATGGCGTTTCATGTAAAGTATCGTCAAATTAAAATGTATGTTTTTCAAAATCTCAAAGCATTGACTCGAGCCTGATGGACAGGGATTGCTTCAATTTGGAAATAAACCTACGCATGATTTAGATGCTACTGGTGTTCACAGACGGACTGACGGACGGACGTTTTGAAAACAAAATGCTTTTTCGATATCAGGGGACCCCAAAACGTGTATTTTGGTTGAAATATCCAAATCGATATTCTACAGCATTTCATGAATTTCCTTATACTACGTATATTCGTACGTATTCGGGAAAGCATGCAGTGGCAGAATGAGCTGAATTTAGCCTGCGACATTCTACGTAATCTGTAATATGACAAATTCGACCGAAACATTTTGAATAAAGTACTATCTTAATGTACCGATCTCACTTGACTCGCAGCAGGCATCTACGAGAGGATGGCGAAGTAATGGAACTATGGATTTATAGGCACCAAAAACTGTAGAAATATGCAGACAAAGTAGGTATTTAAAAATGTGAAATAGGCATTTAAAAGTGTAAAATATGAATTTAAAAGGCAATATATACTTATCTTATCATCATTTATGTTCTTGTGTAGAAAGCCTCTGATGCAAACATAATACATATAGTTACATTGTATATGGTTATCTTCATGAATTTTTTTTTCATCAAAAAATGAAATTTTTGCTTTCATCTTTGTACCAATCAGTCCTTGTAGAAATCCTTTCTTTCGTTATGCAATTTGGACAAAAAAGGTTGAATCGAAATAGCTACCTTTTTGCTTTTCATTAAATGCAAGCTGATTAATGCTTCATACTATGGCCTTTTTTCTCACATTGAATTGAAACACAAGTGAAAATATCGTAAGATGTGTTTTAACCGCAATGCACAAGAGTTGTAACTATTGGT